ATTTGCTGCGCAAGTAATTCAATAGCCCTATATCATAGTGTAGAAGTTTATCATATACCTGTGTATGAAATTCACAATGGCCGATATGTAAGTAAACAAGATGCCTGTATTGTGTTAGTCATATATTCTTTACTTCGTCTATACAATACATAAGAAATAGTTTGGTTGCAATAAAGTAGAATTACGTAACAGAATAGTTGTACAGTTGCCAAAAACTGAATCTTGCACTGACGCAAATGTCCTATAGCGGCTACAAGACGCTTACACTTTTGTTGTATAACTGTTACCTGCAGCCCTTATACAACCTCTTAAATGACTGAGGTGTCCTATTAGGTGTGCCCATTCCGCTTGTATAGCTGTTCTAAGAGGGTTTTGCCAATGTTCTTACAGTATACAATGCTGTGTAAGGAATACTGTATAATCATTCTTGCAACTCTAATAGGAGTGATAATTGTTAGTTGGGTGTTGCGCTTGCATTTTTGATTGGACGACGTTTCGGCTACCACGATACCCTTTTTCATCATTATAATTTGAATATGGCAACGCGTAAAAGCCCAGGATTGCCGTTCCCAAAACACATCCAGCCCCCTAAAGCGAGAAACGAGCATATGACTACCATTCGTTTTTTTAATGTACCAGACACGTCACTCTCGTCAATGATCCCGAAAACGCTACACGCCCTTCGAGATGGCGAAAAACCCACCCAAAACTATTATCGCAACACGCCGATCAACTGTTATGCAACCATGGACTACTAATGCTGCATGTGCATTGTACATAGACCTGAAATGTGAGAAATGGTACTAAAATAAACCATGTCGCTTGTTTTGTGGAGAATTAGTATAAAGGATAACAGTTTGGCCTTGTAATGACGGCTTCGCGCGATCTTGCCATGCTACAGGACAGCTCTATCTGTTGTAACTCACTGCATATGATTGAAGAAAAGAAAAAAAGAATAAATTGTTACCCTGAAGCGGTGGCGACGCGTGACTTTTCCTAAACTGTTACCAAAACCAGATGTGAAAAATCTTATTAAGTAAAGTTTATTTTGAACCTCCCAAATATAATTTTTTGCTTATTTTAGGTATTTTATTTAAAATATCTTCAAATTAAGGTAAACATTCCTGGACTGAGCGTCTGGGGCATTTGATATACCTAATCGTCTTATGCTATGACTAATCCAAGCCGTCCGAAAAAACAGTCGATGTTTCTAGATTTTCGGAAAATTTTTGATCTTTTTTTGGCAATGAATGTTAACAATTCTCTGTAACTTCCTCTATTGTCAGAGTCATCCCCTTCAAAATGAACGGTAATTCCTGTTTGCCAAAAGACATACGGTATCTAGAAGTGTGCTGCCTAAAAGCTTGATTAAGACAACTTTCGATTCTTCTTTTGCCAAACTGAATTAAATTGGCTACACATCTCACGTGTAACGGAGAAATTTCATGTCTCCTCTTTAGAGCCCTAAAACTATTTAAATCGTTGACCCATTTTTTTCTATATAAAACAGAAGACATCGCCAACAATACAATCTGTTTTTTTTGCATATAGCCAAGAGTTTCCATATACCAACTTAATTTAAAATATAAAAGTACGTTTTTTTATTCCTTTTTAAAATTATCTAAAGTAGGCGTTGGTCTTCCATTTTCAATGATATCCTTTTTTTTCTTAAAAATTATACAAGGAGAATGAATTTTCAAGTAGTTGATCTATTACGCAGCGACACTCATCCATTTTTAATTGCACGCACACTACATCCAGTAACCAAAACGGCTACTAACCAGTAACCAAATGAAAAAATGGTAACAAGCCCACATAATAGTCGCAGCGCCCCACGCACTCGGGCGACTGCGATCAGGCACGAGCCGGTACCGACGGTCCCCGACGGACTACCAAGTGTATCCATAAATGAAAATGGTAACAACCGACAACCAAGTCGAGGCGAGTCAGCTTCATCGTGTTCGTAAAACCTAGACACTATAGGGCGCATTTATTTCGTGGGGCTAATTTGCTATTTACTGAATTACTATTACATATAGCTGTTGGTAAACAAATAAATGAAATTATTTCACATAGTCATAAAATATTTATTTTTAAGACTTTAAACTGTTACCAATGGTAACAATGGTTACATGGACGCTTCGCCACTGCCCTGAAGACAGATAAACAAAATAGTTATTTTCCTAACAAGTGCTATAAGTGACACTTTCGTCCAGCAGTCGAGTGCGGAAAAGATACTTTCCGCAAGAGTTAGGGACATTTTGTCTACCAGCGCGTAGATAATGTAATAATTGAAATCACATACTTGACTAACAAAAAAGTAAACATAATTAAATTTCATTATTAAATCCTGGGTAGGGCGGCAGTGCACTCAATGTTGCTAGCCTCCGCATTATCTGCATCCCTTTTCTATTGTAGCTAGGTTTGAACCCAAGATATTTCTGGGTTATACAGGGTATTTCAGTTTATTGTTGCATAACTTTAAGAATCGATAGAACTTTTAAAATTAATGCATAAAGTCTATATAAACATGGGTCGAAAAATGCGTGGCTTCCGAAATACAGGGTGTTTAAATTTACTTTCTAAAATAGTTTTTTTTTAAATATTTCGAACAATATTTGATGTATAACAGTGAAAATTGATATACAAGGGTTTTTTGGTACGACAAAACGAACCATGGGCATAGTTTTACTGTAGCCGCTAGAGGGCGCTCTCTACTGTACCTGTAGTGTATTAAAATGACCGAAAAATTATACTTAGTGTAATTTTTTGCTTTTTGAATAAAAAACTGATTCTTCGCACTTTTCAACATAAAAAAGCTCTCCTGTGAGTTTTCGTTATAGTTAGCCGTTTTTGAGATATTTCGATTTTTAAGGTTCGATGCATTTTTAATTATTTATGGGAAAATAATATTTTTTTTTATATTTTCGATTTGGGCATTACAAGTAATTAAGATGATCGTTTAGATTGTGTTTTTAAACACAGCAATAATTCCTAACTCCAGATAAACACAAAAAAAAACAGAATATTAATTTGTTTAATTTTCCAATATTATTTTTAACAAATTAAATTAATTATTTACAACTAAAATGCTATTGGATAGTTAGGACAAACATACAAAATCTAAAGTAGTTGCTCGAAATGTAAACCCAATTGTTCAATACACAATTCACATCTACGAATGATCGAACGTGGTATAGCATTATTCAAATAAGGCCTTATTTCATCACATGCATTCCTGATTCTGTCTATTAGCATATCTCATGTGGTTACGGGGGTCTGGTAGGCTTTTTCTTTTAGAAATCCCCACACAAAGAAATCTAATGGATTTAGGTCAGGGGATCGTGGAGGCCAGGCGACTGGTCCTCCACGGCCGATCCATCTTTCTGGATAATTTTCGTCCAGCCAGTTTCTAATTATTCTCGAATAATGAGCCATGTCGAACCATCAAGCTGGAACCAGGACAATCTTCTTAAATCTGACATAACAACATACCACATATTTGCATGTTCAGCCTTTAAAAATTCTAAGAAGGTCGCAGCATTTAACCTTGCAGGCAAAAGATAGGGTCCAAATAGTCGATTACGGTAGATACCAATCCACACGTTCACACTGAATTCATGCTGAAAATTTCTTTCCCGAACTGCATGCGAATTTTCATGCGACCAAATATGTTGATTATGAAAATTTACCACTCCACGTCTAGTGAAGCATGACTCATCGGTCCATAAAACGTTACTTAAAAACTCCCTATTATTATCAGTTCTATCAAGAATCCACTGACAAAATGTGATTCTTCGTTCTCCGTCCCCTGGCTGTAGTCCTTGCACAGGTTGCAAATGGTGAGGACGTCCATGGTCATTTCTAAGAACACGGTGAACATGGCTTGCTGAAATTCCCAAGGCACCAGAAACTCTCCTAACATATGTGGTCAGATCTCTATCAAACTCACGCAGAATCATACGAGTAAATCTGCGCTGACGAACATTTATGTTTTGATCCCTTTGGAGATTTCCAAAACCATTTTCAATTATTTGGCGATGCACTCTTACAAATACTGAGCAAGTTGGATGTCGTCTGTTTGGAAATCTTCGTGCGTATTCTCTGGCTGCTTCTGCTGCGTTTCCATTTACAAAGCCATACACAAAATGAATATTCGCTAACTCTTGATTGGAGAATAAAAATAGCATTTTTATAAAACTTACAAAAAAAACAGGTAAAAGAAACTAAATTTCGTGCATTCACAATTGCAAAAAAACCTTTCAGGTTTCAACAGACAACAAAACTAACTGTCAACTAATTGACGTTTAACCTTATTCTGCTTTCAATTTCAAAAATATTTGCAGGCACAGCCTACTTCTAAAAATTATCGAGATACTGACTTTTTCACATTATTTTATCATAAATAATTAAAAATGCATCGAACCTTAACAATCGAAATATCTCAAAAACGGCTAACTATAACGATAATTCACAAGAGAGCTTGTTTATGTTGAAAAGTGCGAAGAATAAGTTTTTTTATTCAAAAAGCAAAAAATTGCACTAAGAAAATTTTGTCGGTCATTTTAATACACTACAGGTACAGTAGAGAGCGCCCTCTAGCGGCTACAGTAAAACTATGCCCATGGTTCGTTTTGTCGTTCCAAAAAACACTTGTATACCCATTTTCACTGTTATACATCAAATATTGTTCGAAATATTTAAAAAAAAACTATTTTAGAAAGTAAATTTGAACACTCGGTATTTCGGAAGCCACGCATTTTACCGACCCATGTTTATATAGACTTTATGCATTAATTTTAAAAGTTCTATCGAATCTTAAAGTTATGCAACAATAAACTGAAACACCCTTGCATATGTGAATTTTCCAATTTTCAGAATACTCTGGACAATACGAATAGCAGTTTTTCCATCGGGAATTTGTCAAATGGAAGTTGTTTCGCGCTCTGTTCTTAGATCGAGCTTCGAACTTGCTTACAACCATCAAGCACGCAGCACACATGTCACGCACCTCACCTACCCAGCCCCACGTTATCGACACTCTTGACTCCTGCTGGCCAGTCACCAGGTCTACGCCACGGCGTCGACGGCGACAGTATTCCCACCGCCTCTTGCCGCAGAGCGCTGGTTCGCTCCGCCATCGCAGAACCAACAGCGCTTCAATCGTGGTACCCGTCAGTGGTACCAACAAGAACCAAGAAGTACCGTCCACAGATGAACCGGATGTTCGGATTCTGAGAAAACGGGACCCTAGCGCTCGGTGCGTGTCTGCGTGCAGGCTAGTTTTCGCTTTGTTGTGAGAGTGTGTTGGCCTGGAGACCCTTCGTGGGTGCAACGGGTGTGCCATCCGTGGTCAGTTGTGGTTATTGTGTCCATCAAGTCGAGGATAAGGTTGTGGAAAAACATCTTGAACGAGTTTGTTAGGTATGTGCGGTGTGGTGCAATATCAAAGTTGAGATCTGTGTGCAATGTGTGATATCAAACAAGTTGCGTTTGTATATTTGTTTTTATTATTGATTTCAATATGTTCTTCGTTCGTGAGAGTATTGACACCTCTTTGACGAGATATGATTTTCGTACCTTTACCGTTGTTTTTTTTTGGGAGATGTATGTGCATTTTGTCAGCTGTAGTGCGAAATTTGAAATATATGACTATTATTGTTTTATGACGCTTATGAAATTTTGGTTATACAAATCTATCTTATAGATACTGTTCTTGCAAAGTCACAATTGTGTCTAGCATGGACGAGACCTGTTAGGGGAAAACGTTTTGGGCAACTTTGTTTTTGTTATTGAGTGGGGCTTTGAAGCTTGACCTATAGTACAACTCTTTAGATGTACTTTGCGACAGAACTTATTTCTGGAGATTATACTACATACAGTATGATCAAAATGGTATCTACGAAAATGCATTTTTTTAAGATACCACCTCATATGTTGTGTTCCAAGTGCTTCAGTATTGCCCAGTTTCGAAATATTTTTTTTATGTAAATATTTAGCAATCTAAAAATTCTACCTATATTTGACACTTTTTATCAATTTATTGTGTGACAAAACATTTTTTGTTAAGAATCATGCTAGAAGAATGAGAACAATAAACATCTGCAACTACCATTTTCAGAGAAACTGTAGCTGTTATATTTTAGTGCATTTGAATTTCTCTACCTTTATTTTTTTCGTATAGCCGCATCTGTATGTGAAAATTGGGGGATTTGACTTAATTTGCTTCCAGTAGCTTTTGTGAAATGTGACCCCCCCAGAATTTTTTTCTTGATGCGCTAGTGGCAGTGTGTATCAAAGCAGTGATTGTGAATCTATGTGCAATATGTGATATCAAACAGAAGTATCTGTGTATTTTATCTATCGACTGTTCTTCCTGGAAATATTTGCAGCTTCTTTAAGGAGGCATATATTTTAATTTTTATGTGCGAGGAACATATTTCATTTACCGGTAGTTTCAAAATTTGGCGTTCTAGCTTTTTTGATGATGTTTATAAAAGCTATGTGCATATCTCTTGATATTACCATCTGTTTTGTTGTCTTTTATAATATAGACAGTTTAATGTTAATTTTATTTGCTTTATCATTATTATTATTAGATTAAATTCTGTTGAACCATAATTTACATAAGTGTTACCTGCCATGCTTAAAAATGGTGACCTTCGAGAAATATGAGTATTTTTAAACCTATGGAGGTCAGTTATCTTTTCGCTCAGTGGTAAATTTATTTACGAAAGCTTAGATTTGCGAAAAGGTAAAGATGTGATGTTTGTATGTACTTTGATCCAAATTAATTCATGGTTGGATACATTTTATTTGGATATTATAAATATCATCATAAAAAAATAGAATCCTTAAAAAATATATTGTGAATCTCCAGTTATTCATGGTGGTGGCCTGGTGGCTCATTGATATAAAATATCAAAATCATGTTCAACAAGTACTGACTAATAACTATCAAATGAACTTGCATATAACTTTTTGTTTACAATAATTATCTTTTTGTTAGAACCTGAGAGTTTGACATTACTCTAATTCAAAAAATTATCGGCACTTACACTGTCAGTCCAGGAGTATTCTCCTATGAAGTCCACGACCGTCTCATCCTCCTTCCTGCACATGTAGTAGATTGATTTTTCATTCGCTCTGATATGTGCAGTGTCTCCTGAGAAAACTCACCAGAAGGTTGAGCTATTGTCTCTCAGTTTGCAGTCGTTTCTCCATGCCTTTCTGATTCTATTACCTTTCGCGGAACTGAATTCTGTAACACTGATAGAAGAGTCGCTCCTCGAGTCATTCTCAGAAGAAGAAATGAGGAAGTTTCACCGTCGCCCTGATGAAGGGACCTTTGCGGTGAGAGATTTAATGAAATGAAGATATGAAGAACACTAGGATTATACTATTTTGCAGAATATGATTGCATTTACGAACTGATTCGCTAAACGTCAACAGCTTCCAGAATTTGGTATCATCCTAAGTTTGTCTTACCCTCAAGGACGTAACAGACTTCAGTTCGGTCTGGATGTCTTCAACATAATAGTTGTGTAAAAATGGGATTTGTATAGAGGGAATGTACGTCTCCGTATTAGAAGATGATTTTTATTGATTATACACAAATATTTCATCAAACGAACAAAGGAAATCTTAAGTCTCCATTAGGAAACAACGAGACTGTCAATGATACATGTTACCCACATTCTTAGCAGTTTAGTAGAATAATAGCTCAAGGATGTACGGCATGGTGAAATTACGTACACGAAAACTATTGTGAAATACATAAAGAATACAATTTATGGCGGATTTTTGTATATATTAATGGTGCAATAGTGCTAAAGACATAGCTAACGACTGCTGACCTTTTCTTGATCATTTAAGAAAATGTATGTCATCTTTTAGACATCCTGTTAAAAGTTTATACAGGTTGTCCCAAAAGTCATGCCCAAATGAGAGGGGGTGAAAGGCTAGGCGTTTTCAATCAGATTGTGCACGGTTTTTGAGATGTCGCCATTTTAAAGAATTTGTAGAAAATCGCTTCTTTCAGACTGTATTATTTTTTCAGAAGTCATTAAATCTGCATATTCAACAAGGCCTGTACAAAAAATTAGTTTATAAATAAAGCGTCCACAGATATGAAAAACTTCGCGATTGGGGCAACCTACATGCCGAATAGAACGAGAAGACAATTAGGGCACCAGATGTCTTCAAACTTGAATCAATTCTAGGTCTAAATAGTCCAAGGGTAGACGGGCTTGATATAAATTTCGGTAGCAAAAGTATTACAGAGACAGTGCCGTATTACCTGATCCTATAACCAACATTTATAACTTTCTGTAATCTAAATAGAAGAAACGGACAGTAAATCCTTAACTGCAAATAGGTAGAATAGAATCATACAAGTGGAATAAGTACGTCATTGTATTATCGGGTTAGGTAATACGGCACACCCTTTTGTCACTCAAAATGATGTCAAAGCCACCGTCCCTTAATTGATTTGCGCTTAAGGACTAGTTGTGCCTTGGTTGTTTGTGGAATGGGCATTTTCAAGCTTAAGGGTGCCTGTAACATGTTGTCTATTTTGCGCGGCAACTATTTAGCACATCTGACTACTTAAAAGCTTTTTCGGAAGGCCATAATGTCCCGAAGTTTTTCTTAACTATGTACAGTTCATATGTCTAGTTTTTTCTAGAGGCCTGAATATGTTGCATTATTTTTGACAAAATATGTACCTTCAATAATGAACTAATTTTTTACTGATAGCTATTCTTCAATGATACATATTTTGGGTACATATTCTGTAAAAAGCTGATTGAGAAATCACAAAAGATGACTTCAAAATTAACCTTTCATTTGATCCAGGACTTGAGCCTGTATACCCATATATTACTGATGCGGATTTATAAAGTTAGTATCCGATTTATGCTGAAAACTGTAAATTTAACGCGAATTCAGATGACATACTTTTAATTTTGCTCTTGACCCAGAATAACAGCTATATTTCCGCTGTGCTACGGTCACCGTTACCTGAGATTGAGAAACTTGGCTTTCCTCCAGCTATCCAAACAAAATCAACGGCGGCCATTTGAGACAGTTTGTGGATTGTAAAACATTAGTTTTAAGAGTCAGTTAAAAGTGAGCTAAAGATTTAAATTTTATCAGCTTCATAATAGTGCTTTTGACTATGCTCCATCCGGTAGTGAGTTTTTAAAATCTTCCGAAATTGTAACCCCAACTAACAATTATCACTCCTATTAGAGTTGAAAGAATGATTATACAGAATTCCTTACACAGCATTCTATGCTGTAAGAACATTGGCAAAACGCTCTTAGAACAGCTATACAATCGGAATGGGCACACCTAATAGGACACTTCAGTCATTTAAGAGGTTGTATAAGGGCTGCAGGTAACAGTTATACAACAAAAGTTTAAACCTCTTGCAGCCGCTGTAGAACCTTTGCGTCAGTGTAAGATTCAGTTTTTGTCAACTATACAACTATTCTGCTACATGATTCTACTTCATTGCAACCAAACTATTTCTTATGTTGTATAGACGAAGTGAAGAATATCTAACACATTATACGTACAGTCATCTTGTTTACTTACATATCGGCCATTGTGAATTTCATACACAGGTATATGATAAACTTCTACACTGTGATATGGGGCTATTGAATTACTTGCGCAGCAAATTTTATTGTGATTATCGTGCAAAGTAGTTACGCAATTTCTACGGGCTCGGTATTTGATTCATATTTTAATGATGATCAAAAGTATATCTAGATTTTTAAGATGGAAAAATGAACTTATCTACGTTAAATCTTCCACAAATCCTATATTTAGACACAATTACAGTAATGTTTATCACTTTATATCTGTAATTTCGAACTGAAACATAATTATTTAATATTAAATAGAGGAATAAATGTTTGCCCAATATGGCGGGTGGTTGTGTATAATCATGGCATCGTCCATGTTGTCTTTAGTTTATTAGAATATTTGGTGTTGCCTGCAGGTGTTATACAACAATTTGACAAATGTCTGAAATGAAATACCGTCAGAGTTGAATGATTTACCCAGAATTTGTACCAGATCAATATCTTCTGTTTGAACAGTTGATAAAAATAAAAGTGCTTCCGTTGGGAGCAATTTGTTGGCTAAAGTAGTAAATTTGCACAGCAAAACAACAAGGCTCGGGTTTGTTTTATAAACGTTACGATGGATGCCACAACACAACCATTTTGACTAACGTGCAAATATGCCGTATAAAATAGTTGTATAAATGCATTTGCAATTTGCATTCCAC